ACTCTCAACCACTGCGCCACCAGGGAAGCCCAAGAGAGAAACTTTTGAGAAGGCTCCCAACTACGTGTTGAGAGATTTAAATTTCATACAATGAGAAATCACTGTAGGATTATAAAGGCATGAAGTGACTGAAGTGGGTTTCAAAGTTGATTCTCCTAGCAGCAGGATATAAAACAAGGTTCATGTCAGAGAGGCATGCCCTGAACCTATGAGGGAGATGATGAAGTCTTAGCCCAGAGAGGTAGTTCTGCAAACAGGAAGGAAGGCTTCAACTTAAGGCAATGAGTATTATTGTCTTGCGTTGACAACACCCAAGTCATCTGCCACCCTAGGTCCTAAGTTATAGAACCACAGTCATAACTTTGCTCCAAAAGCAACTTAGGACTTGCTCTAGTACAGAAATTGACATCCAAATGAGATGCCTAGAAGTTAAGACCTATAACAAAATATACAGACTTGCAAACCCTTCCATCGCCCTTGCAATGTAAGCTGAGTTGTGTTAAAATTTTTAAATAAATAAAAGGCTCAAAGTTATACTTCCTGACTTTAGATAACTTACTTTATAACAAAAGAAATGCAAATTTAACATATTTGAAACTAGCATTGAAAAGGTCTCAAACCATGAGACCTGTAATACTTCTCAGCCTAAGATTTGTAAATTCAAACCTCTTTCTCAAAGATCACTATAGCTAGTAATACCTAATATCTAGAAGACCCAGCCAGGTTCTCAGTCTCCATATCCTACCTCTGCCTGCAGCTGGGGTTGCTAGATTCTCACAGGCAGGCTCAGTCTTGCCTCTAATCTTGAAACACAATCTTGACCTTAGAGGACATTAACTCTTTGCATCTACTTCTTGTTCTAATGTACTGAGCCAGATCTGATACCAGCTTCAATAGGAATATTGATGAAAAACCAATTAATCCTGTTTTGAAGAGTGTTAGAATTCACTAGAGTACGAACTAGAGTAAAGGTTAGCCAGCTCAGTCAACAATAAAATCTAAGAGCAACATTGCAACTGCACTTTTCTCCAGAACAGTTCAACCAGTCAAGCTATAGTTTCACCTTCCTTACTATTGTTCAATGCAAGGCAAGGGCAAATTGTAACCATATATATATATATATATATATATATATATATATATTTAAAGTCATTTCCAAAAGAGTATCTGTCCCACAGTTATCAGAACTATTCAGGTAGAAGCTGAGTAAGCTGTCTGGGCTCATAAAATCACAAGGCTGATAGAGAGCTAAAGTTTTTCGGCCTGCTCTCTCCCAAAGCAGAATCTTTGACCCGTGTCAATGACAGCTAAGCACCCAGCCTCAGCCTGAGCACCACCAGGAAAAGGGAAAATGCTTCTTTCCAAGACAGCCTTTTATCAACAACTCTAGACCCAAACCAAGTCTTCTGAAAACCGCCTCCTTGCACCTTTCCCCCACGGGTCCTGTTTCTGCCCTCTGGAGGCAGATAAAGTAACAACAGTCACCATCCACATGACTTCCCTTCCAGCGAATTGAAGTTACCAGTCATACCTGTTCTCTTTTCCTGGATAAACATCTCTGACTTGCTGTCCTCTTCATCTCAGCACATGGCTTCCAGATCTCTCTTCATCCTTTTCTTCCACCACCTCTAGGTACCTACTTGTTCAACAGCTCTGAAAGCTGGGTATTCAGATTCTGTCCATAATATTTCAGGCATGATCAACACACAGCCAGTGATACCTTCTGCTGCTTTAATTTGGACAAAATGCTTGTAACGTTACAGTTTAATATTGTGTTTTCTTAGCACGCCCTTCATCCTGTTAACTCATGCTCTCTTCTTCCATGAAAAGCTGTCAAGCTGGGCATACATCAGGAAAACAACTGATTTTATTTTAATTGGTTTTAATTACTGTTAAATAGTTGAATATTTCATTTTATTAAATTTCATTTTTAAGTTTCATTCTTACATTCCAGCCTACCTAGTACTTTCTGGACAACCTTTCCCAGCTTTGTGACATTGATAAGTGTGACAAGCATGATTTCCATGTTGCCATCCAAGTCACTAATAAACCACAAAAAAAGACAAGGCCAAGAACTACTAGTAATTTTTCACCATCTGAAGGTAAATTTGAGGTAAAGTCATTTAAAAAGCTCTGAATTTGTCCATCCCACTGACTTACTCTGAACCCCACACAATAGTGGAGCAAGTTGGGTCTGACTTTCTTCATAGTCATTTTTATTATTCTTGCCCACTCTCATACCTGATTTACTCTTATGGTCATTTTTTCTTCCTAAGATGTCAAGACTTTTGTATGATACTTGAGTCTCTTCACACCAGGTATGCTAAATATTATCTTCCCCAAACAAATTCAAAATTTGCCCTGGATAGAAATACATGTAGATATATGTGTCCTTCACAGAGAAATGAAGCAAAGAAATGTCTTTAGCTCAGGCTACATGCCTCAGATACA